CAGACTCTCAATCTATTTTTGTCTGTGAGTTTGAGATGTGTTTCTTGATTGATGGATTTTGTTGCTTAATCCAGTATGCTATCCTTTCTCTTTTAATATATCCATTAAACCATTAACATTCACTACAAATAAATCTAAATGTAGATTAGCTGATGTCATCTTGTACTATTTGTGTTTGGTATTTTCCTTTCTTCTTTAAAATATTGTGTGAGAGAGAGAGAGCAATTTATTGTCTTCATAGCTCCATTGGATATATAACGTTTGAGTACTGAGTTAGGATTCTCGAGAAAAACGAAACCAGGACACTTATGATTATCTATCTATCTATCTATCTATCTATCTATCTATGGATATATATATACACACACAAATATATATGTGGATAGTTAGATAGATGATAGATCTATCTATCTATCTGGATATATATATATACAGCATGAAGGAATATAACAGATAACTAGTCCACACAGCAGTATACAGGGTTACGTTCAACTCACTTCTGTGAAACAGTTAATATACTGAAAGTCCTTCAACTCAGGAGAGCTGCTGGGTCCAAGGTCAAGGAAGCAGACAGCGGAGTCTTCCATAGAGCCATCCAGGCAGTCTGGCCACAGGCAGCAAAAAGCAGGGTGGTCAGGCAGATGACAGGATCCGACAGTACCCAGCTCAAGTGATGTATGCATCAGCAGTGGGGTGAAGCAGCTCTTGAAGGACCTTAAGCTCTAGCAACATGGTCCATGGTAGGGTGTTCCACAGGTAGTGTAGTTTCCAAGTTGAAGCAGAGAACTGGCTCAAGCAGCCGCACACTGATCCAATCACCAGAGAACAAGAGAGAGCAAGGTGGGACTGGCCAAGCCATTTATCTCTTTACCCTCTAATCAAACTGCGACATTATTAATCTCACATTTTCTTATTGGCCAGGTTGGCACAATAGACATACCTCTCATAGGTACTGTTTTCAGTGTGATGGTTTCTGGGTGGCATTACATCCTGTGGTGGTCCCTTGTTTGTGTTCTCTGGTTGTTGGTTTTCTGCTCATAAAGAATTGGAAAGTATTTCTTGTAATGTTGGTTTTGTTTTCACAAATTCTCTTAATGTTCCCTTATCAGAGGAAACTAAAATATCTGCTTCAAATTTGATGGAGAACCTTTTCAGATAAAGGTCTCTTTAATTACAGTTGCTGTGTTTCCACTTTCAGAATGCCTTGCTCCAGGTTCTTCTTTCCTGTGTGGTCTCTTCAGAGAGGTCTGAGCTTATATTTACCTGTTTGCCTAATGTAAAGGTAACTTTATATATGTGACTCCTTTTTTCTCTCTACCTGTTCTCATGATTTTCTCGTTTTCCTTGAAATTGGATAATTTGACTACTGTATGTCTTGAATTGTTGGGAGGATGAGGGCAAACTAATTGGTGTCTTCTCTGCTTCCTGAATGGTTATTTTTCCCTCCTTTATGATATTGGAGGACTTTTCTTCCAATAATTCCCTTACTATTTTAACTGAGGTTTTTTCCCCCTTTCTTTCTGCTCAGGCACCCCAATAATTCATATATTGTTTTGCTTCATGGAATTCCTCATCCTTCTAAGGCTTTCTACAGATTCTTTGCCTTTTTTTGTTTGTTTGACTGCTTCTCTCTTTGCCGAATTCTGCCAGGTATTCTTTGAGAATGCTGATAGGTCCTCAATCTCTGTCATTCTATTTATTTTTATATAATTCACTTAAAAACATCCATTTCTGCTATGTGTTTTCTTAACTCCTGTACTTCCCTTGGGGGTGAGGATCCTATTATCTCTATTTTTCATTTGTCTTCAGGATTTATCCCCTAATTTCCTGCATGTCACTAAGCAATATCTCAAGCATTCTTTCACTGGCAGTTCAAATACTGCTTCTTTTGTGTATACCGCCAGGCTTGGTTCATATTCACTAATTTACTTTTGTTTCTCTAGATTTTTTATGGTAGCTGCAGGTGTTGACTCCTGCCTGTGTTGCATCTTGGGTAAGATGATGATGGAGTATAATCTTCTGGAATGTGTAGGGGGTCAGAGCAGGCTATTTAGGTTAGAGGAGGATTAGGTAAGTGCTGGAAAACATATTGTGCATAGGTGAGGAGGGAGTGTTAGCTGGGTGAGATGCTTGATTGGGGTTTAGGTGCCCTGGAGTAGGTTTTACTTGTTGGTATCACTCATAGGAAGACTTCCCTTAGGTATAGTATTTTTGTCATGACTTTGGAGAAGAGTTATGAAAAATGTGATTATACTTGGTAAGTTCACGGAAATTGTATGTTGCTGAAGTGGAGGGAATAGGTTCCAGAGGTTATTGTGTATGGGGAAGGAAGGAGTATAATGAATCTACCAGAGTTCCTTATAAACCCTGTATATTATGTATGGATAGTGTTTGGTGTGTATTTATTTTACTACCTGATGATCTTGTAAAGTGTCAGAGTGGGGTAAGATTCAGACCAGGGGGGTTGTTTGGTGTCTGGAATGACTGCGAGAGCTGTATTCTTGTGATTTGAGTTATTTATCTTGAGAGACTATATCTCAGGTGCATCAGGTCAGAGGGCATGGAGTTTGTTCTTTTCAGATGTTGGCAGGTGGCCAAGTGGAGGTGTGGGGATGGGGCTATTCCTGTCACCTACCTAGGTAGCCTAGAGGGGTGGAGTACTGCAATGTCCTACACAGTGGGCTGATGTCTTATGTGAAAGACTTGGTTTACTGATTTGTTATCTATGCGAGCTGTGAGCAAACGCTTGATCCCTAGAACTCTGTGTCCAGCCCAAACTTGTAAAACCTGTTTCTAGTTGAATCTGCTGCTTTTAAAAGTGGTTTTTCCATTCCTTGTTGTTAAAGCTTTGTTAATGGACCAGGTGTGCTATGGCTGAAATCCTGGAAGTTAATGTAGCAAACAAGGCCCCACAGTGGCCACCTTTATTAAGGGTTTTTAAGGGATTGTAGGGTGTCCTGGTATGGGGGTTGTGCTGCACTTTCCTCCAGGAAAGCGGGATTAGATTGGCGAGTGTGGGTTTTGGGCTCACTGGGTCTGCATTCTCCACTACACCTGTTCTTGGCTGTCCTGACAATTCACCCCATGCAGTTTGGTAAGCTGTGCTCTGGGGATCTGAGTTCTGCCACACGAAATTGACCCAGAGGTCTCCAATAGGCAGATGTCACAGCTCTCTGATTTTGGTAACTTTGGCTGTAATTATTTTTTATTGAACCATGATGCTAGGCCTTGTGTGGAAATGCGATGAAGGGGGAGTAGGGTAGCTGATGCAGTCCCTCTGGTCCTTATAGGGGAGAGAGGGACTAAATCTTGTGAATGTATGCACATAGAGGGAATCACCGAGGTAAACTCTCAGGGCTGGCTTTCAGAGGCTCTCCGTGGGGCAAGTGATTATGAAATGCTCTGGAGTAGACGTCTGTCTGGGGAAATTAGTGCACATTGGTGGGTCGTGGATCTAAGGTGAAGTGGGGGTGGTGGACACCATCCCACTAGTCCTGGTGGGGGATGGGGAAAGCCCACTGGCAGGTGCGATGAAGCTAGAGCACCACAACTAGGTCTTGAATCACTCCATGGGGGGAGGGGAGGAATTGGAAGGGGTGGCGTGAATTATGTACCTTACAATACTAGGATTGTAGTTCTAATACCCAGTTTTCCAAGGTTGGCCTCCTTACCTTTTGAATTTCTGGCCTAACAATGAGAGTGCAGAGTGGGTGATTCTACATGGACACCATCTTCCTGGAGATCTCAAGACTAGACAATTTATTCTTTGCTTATTTTTGCCTTTATGGAAAGCTGTAAAATGAAGTTATTTCAGACAGTTGTGTCTGGAAGGAAGGACATGGAGTTACCAACCATTTTAGAGGAAATTCCAAGGTCATTTTTTTAGTTATTGGAGTGCTTTTTTAAATTGTGTGTTGTTATTGATGTTAGGTGCCCAGGAATTAGTTCCAATTTATAATTACCCTAGATACAACAGAACAAAGCATTGGCTGGTGCTGGTACATTCCCATAATCATTGTTATGTTTGAGCCCAGTGTTGCTACCAATGATTCAAATAATCTTGCTAATTATTTTCCTCTTTTTTTTGCTGACACTCTACAGAGAAAACGATCCTTCTCTATGGACTGTTCCTTCCTGATTACATGTCCAAAGTATGTGAACCAAAGCCTTACACGCCCTACTTTAGGAGGCATTCTGGCTGTAC